TTAGCAATTCTAGAATAACTGCATTCCAATTAAACCATAAGTCCTCTAAACAGTAACTACCATAAGGTTTACAAACAATTTCATAAGTAGAGAAATCTATCATTCTTGGGAATATTTTACAGGTATGTATGGTTTCAGGCACTTGTAAAAACTACCAAATTCCAAACAGCAGTCTCAACCTTGGCCCTGGAGTTAGTTCATTAGTTTAGGAGGGTTTTAAGAACATAGGGATCAACATAATTTTGACCAATGAAGATGCCTACATATCCATTCTGAGTTACTGTCCTCATTTAAAACATTATATCCTAATGCATTCATAAATTTATTTAGTTGTGTTATAAGCATATGAACAAATATTATTTTAAATGCTTAGGCCGTATAGAAAATAAAGTTATCAGGCACGTAATTCTTACATTTATATAACAAAGGTTTCATTGACTGTTCCACCAGTCAGCATTAGCAACAGTGTGTTGTCAAGATTCAGAAAGAACTACTTTGTAAAAGCAACAAATTCTGACATGCAGAGTTCTAATTAACAGCTAAGCAACTAAGCAGTAACCTAAATGACAGTGTTCATTTTGACCCCATGTTATAGACTGTACCTCATTAGAAAAATTAAGTTTGTATACATTTTAACAAAGTTTTTTCAGTATAACACCCCAGAGAAATTGTTCAAAACTAATGTGTTTGTATCCTAAATTTAACTCACAAGTTGCATGTTGTAATATGTTAATATTAAAAACAAAAAATGCACTCACTCCATTAAATATAAGCCATCTACTACAAATCCGTGATTCTTACCATTAAGGAGACTGCACACTCCTTTGCAAATCTGATGAAAGCTACGTATATAATTTCAGGGAATTCATGGATGCCTTGAAGCCTATATATGGGTCCCTAAGATCTAAAGAATCTGTGATTAGTGGGAAAAAATGGAGTCCAAAATTAATCCAAGAACATATGAAAATGTAATATACGACTAAAAGAAGAACTGTAACATACAGTGGGGAAAAAAGATAAATTATTAATATAATATTTGCCATAAGTGGCCATTCACGGAGAGAAATTACAATAAACATATGACTGCTTTAAAGAGCTAAATATAAAAAATAAAAGTTATAAAATACTAACAAAATATAGAGAATGAACATAATCTTGGTTGGGGGAAGTCTTCTCAAGCAATGTAAGGCACCCACTTGCCTAAATTCATAGATTTGACTGCATAAATTTTTTAACTTCTGTATAAGCAAAATATACCATAAAATCAAGGGACAAATGACAGACCTGGAGAAAAACAGATACAAGACATAAAACAGATAAAAGATTAATACTTCTAATATATTTTTAAAACCCTAAAAATTGGTAAGATAAACTACTACCCAACAGACAAATGAAAATGAACAAGTAAATGTTCAACCTAATTAGAAGTTGAGGAAATGTAAATCAAAGCAACAACATACCATTTCACAGCTTCAGAGTGGCAAAAATTAAAAGCTGACAGCATCCCATCCAGGGCTTGTATGTGTTGACAGTGCAGATTATTGTAACCCTTGGGAAATAAATTTTTTGGAAAGTAACAGATTTTAAGATCTGTTAAATTATAAAATACATACATCTTTTGATCCAGTAATCCCTTAACAGGAGAATTTATCCTACCGAAAACAGTACCAACAAATAAGGAGTTAAATAAACTTATATAAGGATGTTTCTTGTAACACTGTTTATAATACCAAGAAAGAAAATGGTAAAAAAAAAAATTTTTTAAGTGGTAGGGGGAGAGATAAACTGAATGTCCATTATTGGCAATAATGGCTGGAGAATTTATGATTCATGTATACTATGGAATATTATACAGCTATTAGAATGAGTAAGTCAAATTTATATTTATTGACCTGGAAAGATATTCTATGATATTAAATGAAAAAAGCAAGATGCAAAGTAACGTATATACTGCCATCCAATATTCGTTGGAAAAAAAAAAGATAAAAGAAAACTCTATTATGTGACATTGGTTTTTAGGAATTCCTGTTTATATACTTAATGTCCCAAGTGGTCAATGAATACACCTAAGTTTTGAATACAACTATCGCTCTATTAGAGATCTCACTATCAAAATATTCTGAAACCAAGGTGCATACAAAGCATTATCAGAAAATGCAATCCTTTGGAATCTTCTATAACAGAAAAGATAAACAATGAAAACTTTTAAGAGCAAAATGTTTAACTTTTTCTTTTTTTTAAGCCATAAATGCAAAGTTTAATAAATTTGACTACACTGTAAGTCAAAATTCTGTGACAGATGACGCCACAAAAGTTTCTGAAAAGTGATAAATGTGTGTTTAAGTTTTTCTGATGCCAAAACAAAAATGCTTTTAATGTTGTGATTTTACCACTTACAGAAAACCACCACAGAGTTTTTTTGTCCCCTGTAGCAGAAATAAGCTATCTATTTCAGTCCTTTCATTGGGTAATATAATTACGTTCGTTACACGGGTATAAACAAGCAACATACATTACACTAAACTAATTCCTTTGTGTCAGAAATTGAATTTTCTAAGAATGACATTCATTCTTAGCAATAAATGCAATTAAACATTGGTATTAGTTTAAAAATTCTATTCAAACTGCTACATCTTAGTGTAATGTCAATATAAAGTCCCAAGCAGCCTGGTATAATTAAAGGGGAACTTGATTTGGAATCAGACATACCTGGGCTCCAGTCCTGGCTCTGCCACTTACTAGCTATGTGGTCAAGTTATATAACCTCTGAACCTGTCCCCGCATCTGTAAAAATGGCTTTCTATGGTGTTCTTGGAAGATTAAATAAGAATATCAAATATGAAAGTGTCTAGTACAGAGTCTGATTGTCAAAATATGCCTCCTTCTGTGTTCCTTTCCTAAGGAAGATTACTAACTGACAACATGTTTTAGTACTGCCTGTTTCATAAGACTTTTTTTTAATCAAAAGACTGCTGATACGAAGTTATATATTTTATTTGCCATAATTTTGAATCTCCATTATTAGCTCCTTCTAGTGTTTTGTATCTGAGGCTCCTTTTCGAGAATTATTTCGTTTAATCCATATTTACTATTTCTAATGGAATATAAAGGTTCCTTTCCTGTAAAAAATCATGAAAAAACACTACTACCTCTGGCTTTCTACATCCTCAGATAACACTTTTTAAAATCATTAAGGTTGTGCCTACAGAAAACACTTTCAAGCATTATGGAAAAAAAATGTTAGGCAACAAAGGAAAATTAAAATTTGAATTATCCCAACCTACTGTAATGTGTCTAAGAAATTCAAAGAGCAACACAACAAAGAATCAATACAAATTTTAATTTAATATAACTTTCAACTTTCTTTAAGAGGAGTCATTTTTTTCTCTGTAAAGCTGGATCATTAATCAGGCCACAATATGACCCTCAAAGCTGCTAAATAGATACAAACAAAAAGAGTATAATGGCCAACCTTCAATATTTAAAGTGAATATTTTTCCATCATACAAGACTCATATTAATAAAATCATAGTAAATAAATTCGATATCTGTTCGAAACTGTACAGGGCAAGTTCTACCCTAGAGTTGAGGAGTGGAATTATTCCTAGCTCCTCTTCAAATTTATTTGCACTTCAGCTAGATTTATTTGATGCTCTTTGATACACTGCTCTTTAAAATGTCTCCAAGGCTTTTCGCAAAGTCTATCAAAACTGCAAATAGTCAGCTACTATTTGTAATATTTCAATTATTTTCTGATACATTTTTCCTAAACATTAATCATCACCCACAGCAGCATCTGTTACTTCTTAGTCTAAATTATAGTGCTGCTGGTATTTTATTATTTGCATTTTGAAAAGTATTTTAAATGATTTTGAGGTGAAAGTGTACGCATAAAAATACATTACTTTTCCACATTCAAATTACAGCCTCCTGAGCTGTTTTTTCAGTGCCATGTACGTTTTTAAATCAAAATGTACTGCTGACATTCTTTTAATACTCCCTCCCCACCCCGAGCTCTTCCCTACTAATCTGAAAGTACCTATTATCTGTGCATTCTTCGGGTCTTTCACAACATCACACTCCAACTTTTTGTACTTCAGACCTCCTCCGTAATTAAAGTAAGCACTGTTAACTCTTTAAGGTACTTAACCTATGGTAAACTTTTTGCACTCTTCCTTTCATAAACTTAAATCTCACTAAAGCAATTCCCCTTCAACCTTTCCTCCTAAATTCACTACACCAACATCGCCGCGAAGTAACGTACACACACATCCCTATTCTTAAGCTCAAAATAATGGCAGCTTAGCGCCGCTAAAAAAGAATTTAAATGCTTGGATGCCTCGTTTCAGTACCTCAGGAAGCTTTTTAGTTGCTTTCCTGTCCTACCTGGGGACAGCCTATTTCTCTCGTCAGTTGTGCGGTCCCTTGCTGCCCCCGGCACAAGAGTGCAACTCACTAGAGTGTATTTCTTTTACTCACCGTCATTCCAGCATCTCCCTCCATTTCTGCGCATCTATCCCTTCGCGAACCTCCCCATCCCCAAAAGATTCCGTAACCAGGTGCCCACATCTCAAATTAGAATACCCCTCGCCTGACACTGCCGAGGCTTTCTGTACGACTTCTAAGAGAACACGCAAGCCTGAGCGTTTCTGTCTCCTCCAACAGTCAGTACCCGCTCCCCAATGAGTTCGCTCTTATCTTGCTCTCGATCCCCATGGAATGCCTACTTCAGGGTAACCCTTTGGCTCCGGGAAGCCCAACCTTGCAACCTCTGCCCCGTGACCTCGCGAGCCCAGCATACCACCCAAGCTTAATTCACACCATTCTTGGAGCTTGTTTTCTCGATGCCCCTAGTCCCATCTCTCTTTGCAACCTCTTTCAGCCTCCTGCCGAGGAGCCAGATCTCAGGTTAGACAAACGCCCACTTGCTCGGGTAGCACTGCCTCCCTGGCCCGGCCGCTTCCACGCACCACTCAGCCCAGAGTGGCACGGCTCCTCACCTAGCTTCGACCGGGACTCCTCCAGTTTCTGGATCTGGTTCTCCAAGAAGAGCATTGCCACTGCGAAGGCCACCACCGCCAGCAGCTGCAACTTGGGCGGCATCATAATCCTGAGGAGCCCCATGAAACCCGCTGCTCGGGATCAAGACATACCGCGGGGGGCGGGGATCGGGGCCCCGGAGGCAAAGGAGACGTCGGGAGGAGCCCACCGAGCCGGGAGAAAGGCAAGGAGAGCGCGACAGAGAGAGAAGCACCGCAGCGCCCCCCCTTCTCGCCTCCCCAGTCCCCCGCCCCCAGGCGCCAGCACCAACGCCGCCGGTGTCCGCTTCTCCTCGGCCGACTCCACGGCCGCCCCTCCAAAAGCCCGCGCAGCAAACACAGCGCAAAGCAGCTGCCGGGCTCTCGCTTCCCTCTACCGCCTCAGCCCCCGAGCCCCGCGCCCGCCTGCCTGCCTGCCTCCCTCTCTTCCTTCCTTCCCTCCCTCCTTTGCTCGCGGCCGCGCGCTCCCCCGCCAACGTTGCGGCTGCGGCTGCGCCGCCCTCGACCCCGCCCCCTGCCCATCCCCCTAGGCCACCAAGCGCACGCATCCACGTACGCTGCTCAGCAACCAGAGGCTCCGCCCACTGCTCCCGTTCGCTTGTGCTTATTGGACCGAAGAACCCCAGGGCTTAGCTCTTGGCCCGTGTCACGGTTGGTTTCCTTTGCCTAAGGTGTCAACCAAAGCGGCATTTGATTGGGTAAACTTAGAGAAGGAGGCAGGCCGAAACTGGCGAAGGCGGGGCTTCTTGGAAGCTTGAGGAAATGTCGTGAATGAAAGGAAAGAGCCCGGGGAAGCACAGATTTGGGGAGTCTAGGAAAATGCCTGATATGGGTTATCGAAAGGACCCAGCGACTTCATATTTATATCAAATGTAAAGGTATTTATTCACCTTTAAGCTTCTATATGCCCTTAGTTAACACTCGTCTCTGTGGAATAAGGGACTTGATGTTAAAGGCCTTTAGCAGCCTGTTTTGGATTAGGCTCTGGAGTAGACGCCCCGAGCAGAGGGGTCCTCGGGGCAGCCGGAGACCTACGGAAGATGGCACCTATGGCGGCCGGGCTGGATGGGTGGCTTTTGCCGGCTTTTGGGCTGCGGCTGCTGCTGGCGACTGTGCTTCAAACGGTGAGTGGAGGTCACCTCCGCTGCAGCCCCAGGGCGAGTGGGAGGGATTGCGCCGAGGAAGACAGAACATTCGGTCCCGTTTGGGAGCCACAGTTGAAAAGGGTGGGAGGATAGGGCTTCCTCAGCGACTGCTGCGGCCAGAGTGCGACGTGGCTTAATTCCTCGTTTGATACTTATCTTTCCCCGTCCCGGGTTTCTAGCGGTTTTTTCTCCAGACTTTAGACTAAGTTGAGTACAATTTGTAAGACACACCATGAACGGAAAAAAAGGCACTAAGTTTTGCACAGGAATGAAGATTGTTTTTAAATTGGCAGAAATTCAAGGAACTATCGTTCCTTATGGCAAGGCTCCCAAATCTTAAAGCCCTGAGGTCTTTGGTCCAGGGTACACTTCCTTTTTACTTCTTTCTGTCAGTTGTTTGTGGTCTCTGTACGTCACTTTTAGACAGCCTTTAACCTCTGTTCTGTGGAATTCATATGCTGCTGGGTACACTTCAGTGCCATTTGTGATTTTAAACAACATTGTTGCAATAAAAGATGCTATTCCATACTAAAGCATAATTTATTTTTGACATTGATATTCTAAAATGATAGCTTTCATCTCGTTTAAAATCGGGCGGTGTTTAACCAAGTTTTTTTTATTTCGTTTTTATCCATTAACAGAACAAATGCGTTCTTTATCTTTGAATGGGGAAAGGCTAAATTCTACTTATTTTCCTATTCACTCACAAACAACTTACTGTTTGTTAATTTCTCCTTAGAAGTTTTTAGTCCATGTTTATGTGAATAATAAAACTGTATAATATACACTATGTTTGGAGTTTTTACAAGTGTCTTTTATCAGCCTAATTTTTCAGGAGTTCTCTGTATTGAGCCTGCTGAGAAGTATTCTCCTAGAGACCTGGTTTAATTAATTTATCCAAGGTTTGGAGGAGTGAGGGTCTATACCGAAGGCCCCTACAAACACCTGGGCTTTTCTTTCATCAAGGAGTTTAAAGATCCTGCCTGTTTCCTTTTGTAACCTTGCCTAAAAGGTGGATTCTTTACTTCTCTAATTAGCTTTACAGTACTCCATTATTCAGTCGTTTGTTGCCTTAGAAATTACTGGAAGACCCCTTTCTAAACTTCATGCTCAAGAATTTATTGTCAGTCTTAGGTAATTTGAGTTCACCACCTTGAAAAGATAAAAAAGAATAACATTTCAAGTTGCCTTCTCCTGATTTCACTCTCTTTAACTGTTTCTTTATCTGTGGCTGTATAACCACCCCCAAAGTTTAAAATAACGATTTCTTGTAATTCTGTGTGTCTCCTGAGCAGTTCCTCTGTTGATTTCCTCTCACCTTATTTACGCAGCTGTGCTGAGCCAGCTGAACTGAAGGGTCCAGCTGAACTGAAGGGTCAGCTGAACTGAAGGGTCCAGGATGGCTTCATTCTTAGTGGTGCTGTCTGTCAGCTAGGTTCCCATCCATGTGACATCTCATTCTCCAGTAGGCCAGACCAACTTCTTTTCGTGGCAGCCTCAGGGCAGCACTCCTACAGAGCAAAAGTTGCAATGCCTCCTAAAGCCTAGCCGCAGAAATCACATACATCACTTTCACATCACAGTATTTGTCAAAGCAAGTCACAAGACCAGCCTGGATTTCAGGGGTTTGGGATATGGACTCCATCTCTGCATGAGAAGAGTGACATAGTCACATTGCAAAGAAGTGTACATATCAAGGTAGGAGGAATTTATTATGCCCATTAAACAGTCTCCCAAAGTGACCATCCACAGAATTCAAGCCAGAAACTTGGGTCTCATCTTCGACTGCTGCCTTTTCTTACATACCTCACATCCAGGTAATTACCAAGTCTTGTTGATTTTACTTCCTAAATATCTCTCAGATTCATCCACTTATTATTAATCCCTTATTTAGGCCACCAACCTCTCTCTCCTTAGAAATAACAGCCTCCTAGTTCGCCCTTTAATTATCAGGATCTAAGCTGTTGTTTTTGCCAGCTTCCCAATTGCCCAAGCCGGAAATTATTCATTTTAAATTCTTTCCTTTCACTCTCTGACCCCAGTTAGTCATTAACCCCTTAAAAATCTCCAAGCCAGTTCATTTAATTTTACCTCCACAGGTAGTACCTAAATTCAGGCCCCATCTTTGCTTGCCTGGGATTGCCACAACAGCTTCTGTAACTGGTATCCTGATCTCATTTTCCCCCATTTCCTAATTCAGTCTCTGCAGTGCATCCAAGTCATCTTTCTCAAACTTAGGTCAGTCATTGTTAAAACTCCTCAATGGCTCTCAGTTGCTTTTAAGTTGAAGTCTATCTTCAATGTGCCTTAACAGGACCTCTTTGACCTAGTACTTGTTTGTCTCTCCAGGCTTAATTCCCAGCATTTACTTCTACTGGGAGAGCAAAACGGTAGAGGTGGAAAATTGGGGTCATTTTAGTACCTCTCACATACCATGTTCTCTCTCACCAGACCTAAAGTAAGGTATTTAGATAAAATGCAAGGCTTAACTTACATCCCATTTCCAGATTTGCAAAGTCTTATATACCCTCTCCCTTACATATTCTGTCGTCATACATACTGCTGTATTACAGATTCACAACTGCACCAAAGCTCTGTGTGTGGTTTGTATCTCTCCATTCCCATGCCGAGTGTAGCCAAAGAGAATACAGGGGCAACTTTTCTTTTATATATTGTTTTATTTTGCCTCACGTGTACATTTAAATCCCTCAGAGGTTTGAAAGGCCTTCCAGTTCATTAGTGTTTGTGTCATTAAGATATCTGTAGTAGGTTATGTAGAACAGTGATGAACCCCACCCACTCCAACAAATACATAATGACTGAAAATATTTAGAAAGGGTGGTCTGAGCAATTCACCTTTTTGTTGAACTGTTTTAACTTCTCTAAAGCTTACTGCTGTCTCTTTCTTCTGTAATGACTAGTGTTTTTAAGAAAAGAAGGCAATAAAATCTTGAAAATGAAAAGAGAAGTACAGAGGACTGTTGGAAAAACTCTTAAGATATTAGAAAAACTGCATTTCACAGTTAGCCTGAGGGGGAAGAAAGGCCAGGTGGAATAAGTAGCTGGCAGTAATAAAAATAAGCCAAAGCTTTGGAACCTGACAAATGAATAAAAAGGGAATGAAGGAAGACTTTCTTGGTGCCCTGAGGTTGAGCTACTGGTATCGGCAGAAGACTTAGCTCCTACTTTGTTAATTCACACCTCTGAGTCCTGAGACTAAACAGGTTGAGCTTTTATTACTGTCTGTGCCTCTGAATAGCTCTAATTAAAGTTAGTAGCAACACATAGTTATCAATATTCCAGTGAGGTGACAACGGAGAGGATATAAAATGATTTAATTAAAAATACATTCTGAGTATGCTTAAGCATTAGAAAAATTTTCGTATGGCCTAAGGGAGCTGTTTTCTAGAGTGTCACAGAACTAAGTGATACGCAATTCTTCATTCAGCTCATACATATTACTTCTTTCAGAAAGACACTGTAGGGATTTCTCTGGTGGCCCAGTGGTTAAGAATCCACCTGTCAATGCAGGGGACACAGGTTCAATCCCTGGTCTGGGAAGATCCCACATGCCACGGAGCAACTAAGCCCGTGCACCACAACTCCTGAGCCTGCACTCTAGAGCCCGTGAGCCACAACTACTGAAGCCCATGCGCCTAGAGCCCATGCTCCACAACAAGAGAGTCCACCGCAATGAGAATCCCATGCACCGTGACAAAGAGTAGCCCCCACTCACCACAACTAGAGAAAGCCCGCGTGTAGCAACAAAGACCCAATGCAACCAAAAATAAACTAATTAATTTAAAAAGAAAGGCGGGCTTCCCTGGTGGTTCAGTGGTTGAGAGTCCGCCTGCCGATGCAAGGGACTCGGGTTCGTGCCCCGGTCCAGGAAGATCCCACATGCCATGGAGCGGCTGGGCCCGGCCCGTGAGCCATGGCCGCTGAGCCTGTGCGTCCGGAGCCTGTGCTCCGCAACGGGAGAGGCCACAACAGTGAGAGGCCCACATACCACAAAAAAAAAAAAAAAAAAAAAAAAAAAGAAAGGCACTGTACTGGAAGCAGTATAAAATGATTTTATGTATTATTGATTCTGAGACACCACACCCCATCCCCTACGCCTACCCCCTTTTTTTCACAAGTTAACATCTGGATTGGTCTTATTTCAATGGGTGGCACAAGTGTCAGCATTTTTGTTATTTTTAGTGGTACATACAATAATGGTGTATCATGGATTCTGTGAAAGGTGGTAGTTAATAACAGTGGTTAAGGGTTTTGAGGGCAGGCCAGGATTAGAATCTTGATGCTGCCATCTAATGTTCGTTGTATTGTCTTAAGATAGATTACCTCAATTGTCCTAAGCCTCTGTTTCCTTCTCTATAAAATGAGGATAATACCCCTTTCATAGGGGGATAAGATTAAATAGAATAATGATGTAAAGTGTTTAGCAAAGTATCTGGTGCTTTGTAAGAGCTTGCCATGATGGCTATGTTTCTGGTATTTGTTTTCATGGGGTTCGTCTGTAAACCCATGTATTTCGTCTCAGATTTGAAATACGTTCAGAATTATTACATGAGAAACCTATGAGTTTTCTGAGTAAAGACTGGTTAAGAGACAGATAATCATGTGAATGTATAAGTGTAATAAAATGTATAGCTATACCAGGCTTTTGCCTGAAAAGGTGATGTTACATTATAGTTATTAGTTTCCCAGCCAACAACCCTTATGTTTATAAAGAACTCAGTAATATCAGAAAAATAAATCAGTGACTAATGCAAAGGAGTCTCTTAGCCTGTCAATCCTACTTTGAATTGGAGAAGTCATAAACTGTTAAGTGGTTATCCCAATCATGGTTATCTCACCCATCCCTTAAAATCTATGTCTTTCTTAGAAGGGTGGCTAATTATTTTAAAATTTAGGAGAATTTCCTGGCGGTCTAGTGGTTAGGACTCCAAGCTTTCACTGCTGAGGGCACAGGTGCAGTCACTGGTCGGGGAACTAAGATCCCACAAGCCACATGGTGTGGCCAAAAATAATAATAAAACAACAATAAAATTTAATATTTGGCCTTACTGTGCACATTTAAATGCTGTTCATTAGTTTTTGATAATAAAAAGGTGGGTGGGCATAATTTATAATTTTGAACTCTCCTATATTATTTAGAATTTGGTACTTACCTATGAAGTGCTTAAAAATATGTTCTGATGTTCTTAGATTCAGTGCCTTAAGTCTTCAAAACCAATGATATAAGAGAAAAATGTAGTTCACTCATGGAACTCAAGATACTTTCTAGGGCTTCCCTGGTGGCGCAGTAGATAAGAATCCACCTGCCAATGCAGGGGACATGGGTTCGATCCCTGGTCTGGGAAGATCCCACATGCTGCGGAGCAACTAAGCCCGTGCTCCACAACTACTGAGCCTGCGCTCTAGAGCCCATGAGCCACAACTACTGAAGCCTGCGTGCCTAGAGCCTGTGCTCCGCAACAAGAGAAGCCACGACAATGAGAAGCCTGCGCACCGCAACGAAGAGTAGTCCCCGCTCACTGCAGCTAGAGAAAGCCGGCGCACAGGAACAAAGACCCAACACAGCCAAAAATTTTAAAAACATAAATAATAAATTTATTTTAAAAAATTTAAAAGATACATTATATCTCCCCTACGCTTACCTCTATCCCATGTCTAATATAATGACTTAAAGATAAGTAGTGTTTTGTAGTTTTTAAGTGTGCTTTCACAGTGGAAGGTGGGAATAATTCTAAAATTTATTAAGTACTCACTGTGTACTGGGCAGGATACAAGATGCTTTCTGTACTTTTTCTCCTTTAATCCCCAAAACTTTGTGAAGCAAGTGGTAATTATTCCTATTCAGAAATTAAGAAGTAAGGTTGCTCTGTGCTGATATTTGAATCAAGATGTCATCAGACTCAAATACATGTTTTGCATGTTCATGCTACCTGTCAGTAGGTGCTCAGTAAATGCCAGAATAAAACCAAGTATTATGATCCCATGATTATTCATTTGAGATTCTTGTTTAAAACATGCTTTGGTAACAATTTCTTATGTTTGTTAAGCAGTTCACAGTTTCAAAGTTATTTCATTTTTATCGCCTGTTTTAGTTACCATGGCTACAAAACAAATCACCCTAAAATTTAGTGGTGTAAAACCATTGTTTAGTTTGCTTTCAAATTTCTGTGGCTCAGCAATTCAGACAGGGCACAGCAGGATGGCTGTGTGTTCCATGGTGTCTCAGACCTCCGCCTGAGACTGAAAGACTAAAATGTGAAGGCGTTTTACTCACATGTCTAGTAGTTGATGCTGGTTGTCAGCTGGAGGCCTCAGGTGCTCTCTACATGGGCCTCTCTACATTCTCTCTGTAGTTTAGGTTACCTTACAGCATGGTGGCTAAATTCCAAAGTCGAGTATTACAGAGAAACAGATAACAGCACCTGCAAGCACTAGCCAAGCAGAGATTGTTTCCTTTTTTATGGCCTACCCTCAGAAATCATGTAGTATCCCTTCCTTTACACTCTGTTGGTCAGAACAGTCACAAGCCCCTGCCCAGGTTGAAAGGGAGGGAACATAGACTCCCACTCCTCAGTGGAGGACTGCCAGTCACACGTGGGATGATGTGTATATATTGGTGTGGCCGTCTTTGGAAAAAATAGAAATTAACCTGTGAAATTGATCAAGCAGATCACTTTACTAGTAAATAAATTACTCCAAGTGCTAGTATAGTAGCAAGAGTCTTAAGTCCCTCCCACTAGACTGGGATACTTGATCTATTTTGATATATTATGATATACAGTCCACATTTTTACTGAGATAAGGTAAAAGATGTATGTATATGGTATCAAATTAGGATGTTGACTTACTGTTAGGTCAATGGGATGATCAGCATTTTGGAAGAGTATGCCAGCAGTACTTAAAGTTTTTCACATTGGGATATGCCATTGGGTTTTAATCTGCATGATTAGTCAGCTGGTGGGCCAAATCCAGCAAGCCTTGTTTTTGTAAATAAAGTGTTGCTGGAACACAGACACCCATTCATTTATTATTGTCTGTGACTGCTTTTGTGCTGCAGTAGCTGAGTTGAGTAGTTCCAACAGAAACTCCATAGCCACCCAAGCCTGACATAATTACTACGGGGCCCTTTACATAAAATTTGCAGACCCTTGGTCTAGAAGATCAACCAGTCACAGTCAAACAATCTGAAATTCCCCCTACTTGAGGCTGTGGTTTTGACCAATTCATTTGCTTAACACACAGGAGAATTAGCACAAGTGCTGGAAATACAGAGAAATAACTTAATGCTGGCCCTTGAAAGAGTTCACAGTATTACCGGGGAATCAGACAATCCTAGATTTACATAGTACAGTGTCATGAGTGGTGCTGTTTTACAGCTGTGCATAAATTTCGTTCTCAGAAAAGACAATGGCTAAATACTGGGATCTGATTTTTTTCAGAGAAGTCTTCCTAAGAAGACTGATATACCAATCGGGTTCTTAGAAATAAGTAGAATTTAACAAGGTGGAAAAGTGTAAAAGAGCCTTAGAGTAGAAAAGTATGAGCAAATGTACATTTGAGTAGGGGTTTTATATTCTCAGGTACTATAGGAATTCATTATAGCTGAAAAGTAGAATGGGATTGGAGACATAATGAGAGATAGGAGTAGCTAACCATTTAATCCACTGAGGCAGGAAAAGATTTGAGAGCTCTTTAAGAGACAGAATTGTCAAAACTTGTTTTTTTAACAAACAAGTTAATTGACTGATTGTAAGAATGATGAAGAATGTGGAGTCTAGGATGAACTGACCGGGGCAACTAGGTGGTCAGGGAAAATGGTGTCATTTTGCCAAGATACTGAATACATTGGAAGGAATAGATTTAAGGAGAAAAGATGTTTCACTGTTGGAGAGTTTGAATTTGCAGTGTCTGTACAACATCTAAATGAGATCTCAGGTAGGCTGTTGGCTTTGGAAACTTGACACTTAAAAAGACTTGGGAGGTTTCAATAACTGAGTATTTGAAGCCATGGAAAAGATGCAGTTCTCTATAGAAAGTATGCAAAGCAAAGAGAGAGCCAAGAATAGAAATGGGAAACAACAGCATTTAAGAGATACATAGCAGAGGAAGGAGAGGGAAGGCCATGGAAGAAGCAGCTGGAGCAGAAAAGTTTTGAATGCCATTGCATTTACTGATTTTTGGCATGTTTAGCTGAGTGGTGTGGTGAGATCAGAAACCAGACTGTAGTAACAATTCAGAAATAACAGAATGTGGGGAGAGCAGTTCGAACTCTGGGTCTTGGGTACACTGAAGAGATGAGTTATCAATGAAATTAAATCCCTGTGGAGATGGCAGAAGACAGAAGTTAAAGCAGAGGTACAGGTATTGACCTTAGACAGATGTAGGTATACCACACTCACTGAGACATGAGAGGAGAATGGATAAACGAAGAGGATCGTTTTGGAAGCCTGCTTTTGCCAGTCATTCTTTTTGGTTACTTTACATAAGTCATTTCGTTTAATCTTTACTGCAGTCTATTTTATGTGGGAAGCTTCTTGCTTTATCAGTGAGGAAATTAAAACTCAGGGAGGTCATCTTGCCCAGAATCACACATCTTGTAAGTGGTGGAACTGGCACCTAAACCCCGAAGTTTTGTTTTTGATGTGCTCCCGCTCTCCCCCACTTCATCCCTTTCTGTACTCTTCCCCTGCTAGATGTGAATGAAGATAAGTTTGTAGGGTGTAGTAGGGACCTAGAAGTTAATGTTACTCCATACATCATATGAACAGCTGCTAAATTCTTAAAATGAAATGGAAACTCATTTTTCTTCAAAAGATGTGTAATATATATATCATAAAGAAATAATATATGATCTTTTTTGTTAATCCATGTTTTAGCCAAGCTGCAATATGACAGATTTTTAAGAAAAAAGTTAGTTGGGGATGTGGGAAGAACCAAAGACTCATATAAAGTATCAAAATAATTAAGAATTTGTCTCCAAATGAGGCATTTCACTAACTGTCTTTAGTGTGTTAGATTTTGACAACCCTACTTTCTCCTTTTTTGGAAGCTTTGTAATGTAAACATGAAGTTAAGGGGGGTTTTTTCCTCATTTTTTGTTTTCAGGTCTCTGCGTTCGGGGCAGAGTTTTCATCAGAGTCTTGCAGAGAGTTAGGCTTCTCCAGCAACTTGCTCTGCAGCTCCTGTGATCTGCTTGGGCAGTTCAACCTTCTTCAACTGGATCCTGACTGTAGAGGATGCTGTCAGGAAGAAGCACAATTTGAAACCAAAAAGGTATTGTTTTATAGTATCTCTCTTCCATTATATGGTTTAGTTTAGATAAGGTAAAATGTTAAATTGCTTAATCAACTTAAATATAAAGAAGTCTTTAGCTTTTACATTTTGTAGTTTTAGAAACTCAACTGATTTCTTGCAGACCCATTAGATCAATCAAAGCAAATAGGGAGGAAAAGTATGGTTACAGATTGATATACCATCCTACCATGGTTGTCCAGCAGAAGGGAAGCAGAATTACTATAGCATGCCTGGATTGTAAATCTATCCAGTCTTCCTAACTTCCGGCCACATAAAGCAGAATTACTATAGCATGCCTAGATTGTAAATCTATCCAGTCTTCCTAACTTCCGGCCACATAAAGAATAATTAATTAGATGCTTTTATTCATTTGTAATAAGAACCCATTCTTATAGTGAAATTTGAGATGAAAGTAAAGCACCTATTATCTGGCACATAATTGTCAACAATAAATTATAACTTCCTTTTTTTTAATAAATTTACTTATTTAATTTATTTATTTTTGGCTGCGTTGGGTCTTTGCTACTACATGCGGGCCTTCCAGTTGCGGCAAGCGGGGTCCACTCCTCGCCGCGGTGTGCAGGCCTCCCATTGCGGTGGCCTCTCCCGCTGCAGAGCACGGGTTCTAGGCACATGGGCTTCAGCACTTGTGGCACGCGGGCTCAGTAGTTGTGGCCCACGGACTCTAGAGCGCAGGCTCAGTATCAGTGGTGCACGGGCTTAGTTGCTCTGCGGCATGTGGGATCCTCCCGGACACAGGCTCGAACCTGTGTCCCCTGCGTTGGCAGGCAGATTCCCAACCACTGCGCCACCAGGGAAGCCCTAAATTATAACTTTTAATCTGGTTAACAAAGAATATGGTCTGTTACAATTTGCACATCTATAACTAATGTTTCCTGATACGTAATCTCACATTTAACACCTGAAAACAGCCAGGAATAGGTAGTTCTAACAGTCCAATAAAACCTGCTACTGTTTTACCCACTGTTCAGAATAATAGTAAACTTGCTCAATTTTTAAATCTTTTCATTAAACCCTTAGACTTCTTTAATTTATAAAGTAGACTGAAAAGGTCATTTATATCATCCAAATAAAGCTGACTTAATGAGGTCCCTGTGTTTGAGAAAAAAAATATTAGCATCTCTCTGCTTTGTTTCCTTTTAATATTCTCTTTCAGTTGTACTTACTGGATCCTGTTTGAGGCATTATGGTTTGTAAAGCTTTCAAATAGTAATTGTATCTTCTCATTATTAGGTAGTAAAGGTTTACTTCTAACACTGAGTACAGTTTTCTAGTTCGGTAAGAAAAACAAGCTGACAAGCTTTCACCATGTTAGTGTGCAACCAGAATTTACACTTGATTTCTCAGTTGTAAACCTGAAATTCCTGTGTCCCACAAGTGGCTTCCAAGTCTTCCATGTTTTTCATTTTCTTGGTTCACATATACCAATGATATATTTTAATGTTTAGAAGATTTCCATACATATAAGTTAGTCTTATTGCAAGTAAATAAAATCTAAACAAGTTTTTAAAACTTTATTTTAAATAAATAGATTTAAGACCTAGACCTAACTAGTTTAGTAGGACCCTTCCCTCTTGTTCCTTGTTTCGTTTTATCAATGACATATTCACATAGGGCAAATTGCTGAAGTGTGTTTCATCCTCTCATCTTTAAGCTATTATTCTGTGGTCTGTACAACTGCTCAACTAACAATGATTATTTGTGAGACACCAAACTTACAAGGATTGAATAACAAGGGGTGTTTTATAATAAATAATCTTTATCACACACCCGCTTTGTAATTAAGGGTAAGTTGAGAAAGTCTGCCCTTTGACTGATACCAGATGTGCCTAAACTGTAAACCAAGTGCATATAAAAGCTTTTACTAATTGCCCCTTTAGTAATTCTTTATAATATTACCAGTTTTATGGTATAATTTTTTTTGTTTTTTTGCCATGCCATGTAGCATGAGGGATCTTAGTTCCCCAACCAGGGATGGAACCCGAGCCCTCTGCAGTGGAAGCACGGAGTCTTAACCACTGGACCACCAGGGAAGTCCCTGTGGTATAACTTTAGTGGAACCAAACTTCAGTCACACACTTCACAAATTCATTATATTCCTTTTCAGTTTTCATTATTAACTGAGCTATGTATTGCTTCTTCAGCAATAATAGTAGGCAAGTAGTCCACCATTTAATATATGCCTAACTAATTACAAACTGAAATGATTATTATATGTCAGTGCAAGTGAGCCTGTATCCTAATGTACCTTTTATACTGTACCCATTGTTTTTTTCTTAAGTCCTTGCCCATAATCTGTTAAGATGTACTTCTCATTAAGCATTTGCTAGCACAGTGTTGTACAAAATAAATGAATGTTTTTTTTTTTAAATAAGCCTAGTGGAACTAGAACACTTAAAATAGTACTGGAAGTATAAAAGTAAAGCATGTCAGGCAAGCCTCCATTTAGATGCAAAATGCATTCAGGTATAGAAGTGGTACTTGATTTAATCTGTACAGTATTGCTCTCTGGATTATTGGTACATAATTATAGGTAACAATATATATAATAGTTTTTCTATCTCATTCAACTCTGGCTTAAGGCTTAATTTTGAAATTATAGTTTAATTTAGTCCTACTTTAATAAAAGTAAAAATATGCAGTATGTAGACTAGTGCCTTACATCAAAAATATTAAAAATACTTAAACATGACCGTGTGTGTGTGTGTAAATCATTGGGAATATAAATTCTTTAGAAGAGAAAAATTGTAGTTTATATGCAAGAATGTTTTGGCAATTTATAACAAAGAAATGTTCCTGAGTATTCATTTTAGTTCTTGCTTAGTTGCATGCTTTATAGGTCTGTCCAGGGATGAGGCTAATCATTTTTCAAATGTTTACTCATTCAACAGGCTGGATTTAGCCTTTGATAGGCAGAAGCATAAAATTTGCTGTTAAAAAAAAAAAAAACCTTATTCATAATAAATGCAGAAAATGTCTTCAGAATCCCTTATTCTGCAAATAGATATTCCTTTATTATTTTTATTTGGTCTTATTTCTCTTCCCCCACCCCCCATTTTGATCATAAAGAACCTAAGTAAGCATCACAAATATTACCTAGAAGGAGATTTTTTTGTAAGCTATTTTACTACTGTTTTAACTAGTTTTGCTCATAAATACATACCTAGGTACAGTTTACAAACATTAGTAAGCATGTTGACTGAATTATGAGGAGCATTCTAATTTGTAGCTTAAAGTAAAAAAAGGTAAACTAATGAAAGAAAAAAATATTTAACTCTTGGTGCTATTAATATTTACTAAGTAGGATAAGTGACTTCAGATTTTTATATATAGAATCTTAAGATGGAATGGGAGGGACCATTCTTCTTTTCACTACTGACTGACTTTTGCCTTGTGGTGGGAAAACATAGTATTGATAACAGCCAGTTCCTAAGTCTTGTATCTTATAGCTTTTCCCACCAGAAAAGGACTAATTCTTCCCCATTTACAATTTTGAAGTATTTTAGACAAGGACTGTTACTAGCTCAAGTTGGGTCACTAACCAGTTATTAGCTAGGATTATGGAATAATGTAAGAACCTTTAGCTGCCACACTAGCTATGTGGAAAGTTGCACTAGGGAGCAGGTGGATGAAGCAGCTCTTAGGTAAAGAACAGGCTATTTTTTTTTTTTTTCCTCAATTACTAGAGTAAATCACTTCTCCTTGAGCTATTTTAAAGATTTAGCTCAAGTGTCCCTTATTCTGGGAACTCTTCCCCAATTTCTCCTCCTTACTCACTGCCCTTGGCCCTTCCAAGTTATGTTAGCTACACCTCTGTATTCCCAAAGCACCTGAGGATACCCTTGATTTGCACTTACCACCACTATATTGTATCTGTTGTTTGGCTTTTTTTTCTCTCCCAGTGTTTCATGCTCTTTGAAGTATGGAACTATGTTTTATGTTTCTGAATCCCCAGCCTTTAGCTTACAGTATTTCATAAGTTTTTGTCCTTGAATAAGGCTGTTTTTACTAAGAACAAGTTAAAAAAGGTCATTTTTTAAAAATTATGTTGAAAATATACTTGAACTTTGTAGATGCTTGTTAAATACCTTTTTCATGTATTTCACTTATATATCCTAAATATAAAAAATAAGAAAGTTTGTCTTCATGATTTCAGTCATCTATTAGTAACACTAATTGTTCATCTAACTATAAATATAGAATTTTCATTTCTGTATTTTACTTATAAGGATACCATAAGCTTCCCAAATCTATCTAAAAAAAGAGATGTTAATAGCACAAATTTTTAGTGTTCCCAGTCTGATCACAAACATTAATAGATACTTTTTCAAGGAGTACATGACCATCCAGTTAAAAGAGTTTCCTGGGATTTTCCTGTGAGAACAATCAAATAATTTTGATTCTGTTAAGAATTTTTTAACTTCTCTTTTCTAAGGGTTATAAGATTAAATGTAGTATTTCAATAAATGGGTTGTTTTTCTCATATTTTTATAATCTTCCCAGTTCTGTGAATTTGAACTTAATGTTGTCAGCTAGCTGCTTTTTTTTCCCTGTCTCATTTAACTTTTCATATCTTAATGATTTCAGCTTCTTCCAGACATTGTTACTGTAGAACTTCTGTATTTCTCCTTAGTTATATGCCCCTATTTCCTTAGCTAGTACCTGTTCTTTTTAAGATCTTATAGTCCCAATGCTTTTTTCTTCTTTCAGATTATTTTTATTTAATTGTTTTTTAGTACTTTCTATTCTTTTGCGTTCATACCTACTTTCTCTCTGAACGTTTGGCTGCTTACCGAACCAGAGTACCTTTTGGGAGAAAAGAATCCAGTTAGCGGAATTACTTATATATATGAACCAATAAGCAACTTATTTCAACTTAATTTGCTGTTCATTCAGTCTTGATTGTATTGGGGGTGGAGGGGGCAGTTTAGAGTAGTGCTTAAGAGCACAGGCTCTGA